CAAACTGCACTTCAGTGTAACATAGATGAGACCACACAGACACATCCACAGTGACGTCCTGGTAAGGAGGAGAAGAAAAGAAAAATCTAAAAAGGCAGAGCTTCACCTCCTGCCAGGATGAAAGCCTCTTTTACTTGGGCGAACATTAGGAGAACAAACCGGCATCACAACAGGAGGGGGAACTGTCAAACGTGGTGTGTTCTCACATCAAACACTTCCACCATTAATATTGTAATGTTTCCTCTCTGGGTGTTTGAAAGCACCACAACCAGTGTGGTCAGTCGGAGGCCTGGCCACAGATGGAACTCCTGTCGGACGGCGCAGCTTTAAAAACAGAGCGTGTACAGCTGCAGCACGTGTGGAGGAGGAGGAGGAGGAGGAGGAGGAGGACGGGGTATAACCCTGATGAAGTTCTTTTTATTCTTCGCTCCTTCCTTTCGTTCCCCTATGAAATCATTTCAGTTTGCTTTATGGAGTAATTATTGACGTGGACTAAATTAATTACATGAAAAGAGAGAGGGGGAGGGAGGGGGAACGGGGGGGGGGGGCACAAATAACCCCTAAGTCCCCCGATTATGATTCTGTATCCACTCAGAGCAGCGTGTGTACACATGTGAATGCATGAGCATCGAGTGGTTGAGATTGATCTGCTGTGGTCGCTCGGTCGCTCGCTCGGTCGCTCGGTCGGTCGGATGTAAACACTGTGTCTTTCAACAAGGAGCTCCACTCAATACCAGCGGCCGTCGATGACAGGTCACGGAAGAAAACAGGAGAGTGCAGCTGTTCGCGCTGATCTCCGATCAGTTCACAGAGCGAGTGGTGTGTTAGAGAAGAACGTCGTGCTCGGCATGATGAAGGTGTTTTTCATTTTCAAATCTCTGACTATTACAAACAATTAAATTGTTAAAAAAAAGGTCGAACAAAATTTGCAGAGGTGGAGTCTATTTTTACTGAATCTTGACACTGGCCTGGAGGAAATGTATAATATATATATATATTGCTTTTATTTAAAAAAAATCCTCAACAGGGTTAGAAGAGATTTTAAATGAATTTAAACTCAGTAATATTTATTTGATTTCTGTAATCTGAGTCCAAACAAAGTGTCAGGTCTGTCTCTGTCTCCACTTCCTGTCTGGTCTGCTGGGTGGAGTCAGTGACATCACACTCACCTGTGTCTCTGTTCATCAGTCTTTGACTGGTGTCACCTGGTGACCTGAGTATATATACACACCTCCCTCCCTGTCTCCCACTCAGTCTTGGTGGATTGTGAACTAGTGAGGTTGTGTTCTTATGTGAGTTTGATTTTTTTTTTTTTTTTTAAATAAACTCCCTGCACCTTGATAAGAGTCTCTCCAGTGCTGGGATTTGGTCCTGCCTGATTCCTACGACGTCTGAACGTAACATAAATGTCATCATTTATTCTGATTTATAGCTGCCATCGACCAATGTTTGTAATGTTTCAAATCTACAGAAGTATTGCAGTATGTTGTAGTCTCATATAGTCACGTTGACATATTCAATATCAACGTGTCTGAAGTCAATATTTAACAATAAATTAATCTGGGAAACATCAAATGATCAAACTCTACCACAAAGAAAACCTACAGGCCATGATTTCTTTCTACTTCCTGCTACTTTTTTTTTTTTTTCATTTTATACGACTGTGGTGTTTTTTCATCTCAGTCAGAGCGCTCTTCAGACCATGTCTGCTTCAAAAGCACATATTTTGTCTTTGGGTGAGGAGTTTGTTTAACATCTGCCAGAGGAATCAGAGCCTGCCTGAAAAAGTCTGTGTACTTTATGGCTTTCATGTCTCACCTTGCTGGAGCGGACACCTGCACACAGACAGTCACGAGGAGACAAGGAAATATTATTTCTATTAATTGTGCATGAGCAGCGCTGGATATAGTGGAGTCGAAAGCTGACATCTTAGGAAGGAAAAAAAAAAAAAGAGGCTCGTGTCTTGACATGTGGTCATGAAGGTTTTCTCCCGTGCCCATGTGTCAGTACAAAGACCACATACTTGTAACAACACATGTGGGCATTTCTGAAAGGTTGTCATGATCTTCACACTGTGAGCCGTGCTCTGAATACCTTTTTCTCCAGCGCAAATAAATCTGCTCTGCCGTGCCATGGTGAGGCAGGAATAAAGATGATATAAATAGGAAAAGTGACTGAACTGTCAGCTGGACATGGCTTTGTTATGTTTTTTTTTTTGTTTTTTTTTTTTTCCTCCAAGGCTTCCTTGTTCTTTTTGTCCACCGTGCAGCCTGTACCCTGTTCACTTTCCTGACAGCCGCATCCAGGAGTGTGACGTGTTACAAGTATCACAACTCAGGGGCTCTTAGACATCTGACAACACTTATCACAGCCACCCTCAGCTTCACCATCACCGCGGTTAAAAAACACACACACACACACACACACTAACGCGACACACTGTCAGTGTGTGGCCACGGTGGGCTTCTTTGCCACTCCACTCCTGCGGTTTCCAAACTTGTGTTTTTCTGGTAAAGAGCCATTTTAGTTCCAGCTCCAGGCCTGAGGCAGGAAAGCATCTCCCCGAGGAAAATAAGCATGACTCGCTCCACTGAAGACATCTGCCCTTTAAAGGCGAGCGTGGCTGTTTGAACAGCTGTCAGAGCACGCCGTGCATCTCAGAGCTTTTCCTGATAAAACAGAAGCCAGTCTTGGCGGAGGAAAATCAACAGCGCTAAATAGACGGAAGGTGACGTCCACTGTCAATACACCAGGTGGATGCTGCTCCACCTGGAGGTCCTGGTCCTCGGGATGCTAAAAAAAAGGTCTAATCTAATTGGTTGAATTTGAAAGAGCCACTGTTTTGACGTTGCTTAACTCATTAGATGCAATGAGTAGCTTTAAAATCTGAATTAAAGACATCCCAGTGTGTTTTAAAGTACTCCCACTTAAAATTGTCAGAGGAGTTCATCCATGGACACTGGACACTGGTGTGTCCAGCACACGGCTGGGTCACATCCCCTCAGATGACAGGAGCACTCATGGGGATCACTAATGTAGTTAACTCAAAAAGTATGAAAGTAGAATTTTATGGTCTACTTTGTGATTCAGTGTGAATTTGTAATGCCAACGCCGCCGCCGCCGCACAGACACTTTCATTCCCCGAGAAGATCTCAAGCTTAACACATAAGACTTTTAGTCCAGAAGTGACTGTCTCTTACCCAGTCAAGAGTAACAAGTGAATGGAAGAGTAGAAAAAGTGCCGGGAGCTCAATTGCATTAAAGCTCTTAGTTTGCCTGAGCTCCAATCTAATTGGATAAAGCTGGAAAAGCAGCTTCCAGTGTGATATTATTCACAGTGTCATGGATGGAGGATGGAGGAGTGGCGGGGGGGGGGGGGGGGGGGGTGCACCCATGTTCTGTGCCAACTCGTCTTTTGTCCTTGTCAACATTTTCCAAATGAGATTCCTAAAATCAGGAGGTGAGGGGTGCACGCATGCACGATTGCACAGAGCAAACATTGTCAGACAGACACACCTCTCACACCAGCACGCCGGCTGCCAGCGCTTCCCTTCCCGTCCTTATTAAAATTCCATATTGAGATTCCTTCCTGCCACTCCGCCTCCCTGGCCCTGTCAGTCAGCGACCAACCAGTGACAAAATCAGCAAGTTTCAACAAAGACACACACATATGCATAGAGACACACACGGCACACAATCCAAACTTTTCCCGAGACAACTCGTCCCTTCTACCAGCCTTTATGTGTGGGATGAAAGTTTCTTTTAGGCGATGTGTGTGTGAGAGCATGTATCAGCATCTCCCCCTCTGCCTCCGCCGCTCTCCATCTCAGTCCCCACACCCAAATACACACACACACACACACACGCTGTCATTATTTCCGATAGTGTCCCTCTCTGATCTGCCAAGCCTTTGGGTGCTCTCTCTCTCTCTCTATCTTTGTCTGGTCCCTTTCATCTGTCAGGCGCTCCCCTTGGCGACCGCCACTGAGGGGGTTTGATTTCCCATCATGCATAGCATAGCCTCCCCGCACCCAGCTTCCTCTCTCTCTCTCTCTTTCTCTCTCTCTCTCTTTTCTCCCTCTGAGGCGAGTGTTGTGCCCTCGCGTCGTAGGGCAATTATCCTCAGGAGTAATGAGAAGCGTCTCTTCCTCCACAGCGCACTGACTGACACCTCTCCCACTCATTTGTCAACAAATCAGACGGCTGGTGTGGGCGGCCATATTGAGCTGAGGGTTGTCGTTGGGATGCTCAGGCTGAGGCGCTCAGGCTGAGGCGCGCCGTCACGTCTCTCTCTCTCTCTCTCTCTTTCTCTCTCTCTCTCTTTTCTCCCTCTGAGGCGAGTGTTGTGCCCCCGCGTCGTAGGGCAATTATCCTCAGGCGTAATGAGAAGCGTCTCTTCCTACCAAGCGCACTGACTGACACCTCTCCCACTCATTTGTCAACAAATCAGACGGCTGGTGTGGGCGGCCATATTGAGCTGAGGGTTGTCGTTGGGATGCTCAGGCTGAGGCGCGCTGTCACGTCTCTCTCTCTCTCTCTCTCTCTTTCTCTTCCTCTCTCTTCCTCTCTCTCTCCATCCTCCTCCATCCCTTCCTCTCTATCTCTGCCACCTCGTTATCTCTGACAGGGTGTCATTCGCTCCAACTCTTACTCCTCCTATGTCAAGCCTCCATACGCTGCGATGTATTTGTGTTGCTCAGCTGCCAAGAAAAGTCTGACTTCCAAAAGGCCCTAATGGTCATGTGTGGCTAATGATCACTAAGCTGAATAAGTGACACTGTTCAATTTATCGGTGTCAAAGTCAGCCACAGCCAGACGCTGTAAACACTTTGCCCGGCTAGATGATAAAGAGTGCTAAAAGGAAAATATTGACAGACACGGGATTCTTTACTTTACGAGGACACGTAAATGTTATCGTTGTTGTCATGTGTTCCTTTAAACTCTGAGCACTTGAACCCACTTTGCGTGAACTTGTGTCGTGTGTCTCTCTGATTACTCACTGTGCTCCTTGCGCTCCGGACTTGATGAATTCTCCCCGTCTGACAGCAGGCCCGACATGGAGAACAGCTTCCTCCCCGAGTCCTCCCCAGCTTTGAGGGAGCCTCCCAAAGAGCCAAAGTCAAACTCCTTCCCCTCCACCTCTGGGAAGCAGCTCTTCAGCCTCTTGGCAGGGGTGAAGGCCGACTGGTAGCCCCCTGACTCTCTCTCCTCCTGCGGGGACGAGAAAGGTCTGAAGGCGCCCACCCCGCTGTGGTTGAGCATGCTTAGGGTAGAGCAGTCCAGGTTTGGTGGGGTGAACTGGGGGTGCAGGTGGAGCAGGGAGGCTGGGAAGTCCCGGGACGGAAAGGTGCCCGGCATGGGCCCCTGCCGCTGGTACATGGAGGTGAAGGTGTAGGAGGCAGAGGGGAAGGAGAGGTGGAGGTCCTTTTCCAAGGATACAGGGACACCGAAGGGTCTGGGGGCCTGGCAGGGGACGGAGGCGTCCCGGCTGGCCTCGGCCGTAGAAGCCAGGACCATCAAGGCAGGGGAGGCCAGGGGAGTTGGCAGGTAGGAGGGGCTGTCCATCTTGAAGGGGCGGTGAAGGTCCATCCACCTCCCTGTGAGCGGTCCTGAGGAGACACGGCAGAGAGGAGGAACGTGAGGGTGTATTCAGAGGTGAACCGTGCAGATTTTTTTTTTTTTAAATTGTAATTTCTTTATTTGTATAAAGTTAAATCTTTGTGCCCTACACTCCCATTTAATTTGAATTATTTCTTTTATTTTTTGTGTTTATTTTGTGCTTGTTTTTCTTTATTGTTCAGTCGAATCTTTTCCATGTAACAACAGTTTCAACTTTGAAGAAACACTTTCTGTCAATCACTAAATGACTGAAAGTATGAAGACAATTTATACACATTATATGATATATATAAAATATAATGTACATTTTAAACAAATCATCCAAAAATATAATGTACATTTTAAACAAATCCTCCATCCGTCAAATTAATCTAATTACAAAGTAAAAAAGCCATCACATTTATTAAGCTATATTTTAAATTCTCTCTTTTTTATAAGTTATATTGAAATAATTTACAGAGAATTCACATTGTTTACATCTCAAAAACACTTTGTTTTCGTAAAATTCACAGTTGGTATTTAGGTTTCTGTTTACACCTATTCTAAACACAATAACTTAAAGTTTTAACTATAATAATACAAGAAAATAATAATAAAGCCTTCAATAATGAATCTCTAAAAGCCCTCAACATTTAAGTGTTTTTTTTATTGTATTTTAACGCGTTTAATAATAATTTGATCTGAAAAGACGCGCTTCACTAAAATGATGAGAACGAGTTTGTCGCGTCAGCTTGGAGCGAATCAAATAAAAAAAGTTAAAAATTTAAATTAAAAAAAGAAGAAAAACAAACAACTTTCCAACATAAACGTAGTTATAAGTTGATAGAAGAGACGCGACTTTCTGCACACGTGAAAAAAGCGAACGCGTGGTTCAACATTTCACTTCACTGAACTCGAAAGTTCTTTTTTACTCCACAGGAAAAAATGACAATGTTTTACAAACTCAAAAATCAAATCACTTAAACAACCCAGTGTTGGCATGTGGTGTCCAGCAGCTTCACTCACCGTGATGAAGAACTCGACGCGTGTTTTTTTCTTCCTCTCTCACCCTTTCCCAAAACTCTCAGCTTCGTCCCTCTCTCCCAAGTCAATTTCAAAGACGCGACACTTTATCCTGCTTTACGCACGAAAAATAAGAGAAAAGAAATGAGTAAAAGAGGAGGAAAATGAGGAGGAGGAGGTGAAGCGAGACGCACTGCTTCTCCTTGAGTCCAAAAACTCTCCAGATGTCGCGGGTGTCGCGGAGTGGAGTTACCGCGGAGGAGCGTTGAAGTTGAAGGAGGTGAAGCCGGGACGTGTCGGTGGGCATCAGTGAGTGGACTCTCTGAGGGTCGCGCTGCCTCTGTTTGGTCCCTCCTTCGTGCGCTCCTAGTGACTCCCCGCTCCTTCTCCTCCCTCCTTCACTCACAGTAGCCTCTTTCCCCTCCTCTCCTCCCCTCTCCTCCACCCCCCCGTCAGGGCACATGCTACTCCCTAACCCTGGGGTAAAAAGTGAACCTGACTCCAACCAGAAATCACTTCTCAACTTGTGAGAAATGGTAGAAAAACTGCGCTAAATGTATCGTGGTAAAGGACTTCATTTATATAATTTAACTTTTTCTTCTGGTCTAAATAGAAGTTTTCGCTTGTGTTTTTTTTCCTTTGGTCCTAAATACTGCAGTTCCCTCTCATTAAGTATATTATCAGGGAGTACAAGAAAGGTCAGGGTTCATGGTTAGGCACCGGTGTTCTTCTACAACAAGTTACATACATTTACTTGAATACGTTTTTCAAAATAAAATACTTCTAAAAACTAGGAGTAGTTTTAAATCACTGTACTTTTTACTTTTACTTGAGTAGATTTATGAAGAAGTAACAGTACTCTTACTCCGCTACTGAGCTCGTTACTTTTACCAGAGATACTGGATAAAACTATATCTATCCAGTATCCAGTTCTCTATTCCTACATGATTCAGTATCTCTACTTTTATTTTGTCATAGAGAGAGACTTCCGTTTCAAGGCTCTTATCGCGTGATACGTGACCAATCTCAATCTCAGCGGCGGGACGGGTTAGCTTAGCGGCTACTGCAGACGATATCCACCATCTTTGATAGCGAAAAATGGTAGAATCAACGGTCGGTAATGCAGACGAAGACGAGGAGGAACAGCCCGGGACTCATGTTAAAAATATGTTTAATTTTTATAAATATGTTTTTATAAACAGTGCGGAACAGCAGTTACATCATGCTGCGGCTTTTGTGTCTCCCAAAAACAGATATTTCAACATTTAAAAACTCATCGTCTAACGTCTAAATAGGTTGCGGTAAGTTTGACCTAAATTTGTTGGGGTTTTTTAAGTTATTTTGTAAATATTCATTTATTTTATTGAATACTTGAAATTACCGAAATATTTTTTTAGGTATTTAACTAATTTGTTTCATTTTATTGTTTTATCGATGGGATAAACTCTCCTCTCTGACAGTGCGGAACAGCAGTTACATCATGCTGCGGCTTTTGTGTCTCCCAAAAACAGATATTTCAACATTTAAAAACTCATCGTCTAACGTCTAAATAGGTTGCGGTAAGTTTGACCTAAATTTGTTGGGTTTTTTTAAGTTATTTTGTAAATATTCATTTATTTTATTGAATACTTGAAATTACCGAAATATTTTTTTAGGTATTTAACTAATTTGTTTCATTTTATTGTTTTATCGATGGGATAAACTCTCCTCTCTGTAATCAGATGTTACTCAACAGTTACTCAGTACTTGAGTAGTTTTTTCACCAAGTACTTTTTTACTCTTACTCAAGTAATTATTTGGATGACTACTTTTTACTTCTACTTGAGTAATATTATTCTGAAGTAACAGTACTTTTACTTGAGTAAAATTTTTGGCCATGAGTAATATTATTCTGAAGTAACAGTATTTTTACTTGAGTAACATTTTTGGCCGTGTAAATCTATTGTTTTTCCCCGGGATCTTCTTCTCAGAGTTAAACTTTTCTTTTCTACATTGAAAAGATAAAACATTAGGCACGATTAGTTGCACCGACTGTCCTTTTTTTTTTTACAAATTATACGCTAATAAATTATCAAATAAAAGGATGTAATGCAATTTGTCGCCTTGCCAAAAAGATGGTGCTGCCTTTACCAACTGCCCGTGTGTCCTACGCCTTAAGATGGTCCTGTTTGGGGAGACTTAAAAACAAAACAAAACAACAACATTTCTCATCATGTCAGTCCAGTGATGACTTTTTATAAGTTTGTTTTTTATTGTTTGTAACTGTGGCGGACAGGAGACACAGATGTGTCCTCCTCTGTGCCCACAGTCTGCACAGACTCAGACATGAGTGACACATGGAGACATTCCTTTTTGATGAGACACAATGCAAAGCCATGGTTATTATTTGTCTCAGATAATCTGCTTTTAACTCCGACACATTAGGCGCAGTATAATATCCACATTATTCATATCTGATTTCGAGCACATTGTCAGAAAACACAGCTCGCAGCAGCGCAAATCAGCCCAAATCACTCTTAATTTGTTTTTATTGGTATTGGTATTGCTTAAAGACTTTTTGAAATAATGTAATTGAAATAATTCCTTATTCCCCGGAGCCAATCCAGAGGCTTTACACCGCTAATCTAATGTGACACGCAATTTCCGACTCTCAGACGATTGCTTCCCCTCAGGTCCCTGTCTTTAATGAACAGCCATTTGGCTGTGAGCCTGTGTATGTGTATGTGTAAGTGTGAGTGTGTAATCAGAGAGCAAGAGGGACTCCCGAGATGGGAAATACGTGAATTGGGAATCTCAGAGGCAGGAAGACGACGTGAGGACGAGGCTCATGGGGAAGAGGAGTTTGGGTTTTTAACAAAAATTGGAATAAAACCTGTTGTAAAAAACCCGTAAACTGTGTTCTTATTAAGGCTAAAAAAAAAAGAAAAAAGAAAATCACTGTGATCCAGTGTCGGCAGCTCGTCTGTCCTTCACACCCTTAAAGTCAGACGTCCATGTGGGCCACCAGCACTTACACCTGTGTAGAGGCAGCGAGACAGACAACAGATTACCTTTAAATGGACCCATAAACCAGTCTGTCTCTCTCAGCTCTCCTACTGTCCTGTCCATCCACCAATATGGAGGTGTGGAACACATGTCTTCCTTCTGACAAGGCAAGGTCATTAGTCCATTTATGGAGCAGCCTGTCGCTCACACATTGGGATTAGACAACACACACACCCACACACACGTGTACACACATGCTTGGGGCGAGAGCAACACTTGTTTTGTACACATTAATAATTAAAAGTCATCTTTAGGGTGTCACCTTTTTGACGCAACTTTTTTTTTTTTAAATTATTACTTTACCAAAAATATCCTGATTTGCCGACTTATCAGTGAACAGACGGCTACATGTGGCTGAACCGGTGTTATGATTATTATTTCTAACCCTGCTCCTCCAATTTGCCCCGTGTGCTGGTGGCTGTGGGTGGTGTGTAGTGGATGATGGGTGTGTGTCCTGCAGCCCAGTGAAGTGTTAATGATGTCCCCGCTGTCTCAACCAGGTTACGGCACAGGGGCCCTGAGACGCCCAGGGTAAACTGCATAGCTCCCAGAATAAATTGCCACCCGGAGCCACGTCCGCTGGTCAGCCAGCCAATTACAGGCGTACGCACTCAGCTGAGGATGATGGGATGTGATGTTAATTGTATGTGTTCATTTTCTGGCAGGAGGTGAGTCACTGCGCTGTCTTTTTGACTGCCGTATATGCAAACATCACTCACAGAGCCGAGCGTCTTAATGCGCACCGGTCCGAGCTCCGCGGCGGTCTCGGCAGTGTCGTCTGGGTCGCTGGTTAAAAATTTTTTTCCCTAATGAAAAACAGTTTGAGAAGATTTTCAAGGAACAGGAATCAAAGTTGAAATTTGGAAAGCTGGATTCTCGCCATATTCAATTTCCACGGAGAAAGATGCAAATGAAATCAGCGTGATGAGAGCTCCTCACTTCTTTTATTACAGTGCCAGAGGTCGTCAGTGGAGTCTTTTAGTAAATAGACATTTGCTTTATTTTCTTCTCCCCCACTAATTCCCAGCTCTTGTTTACAGAGCGTGGCTTTAACTAAGTTACTGCTCTAATCATTTCCACTCACCAATTAGTGAACATTACCTTTTGCTGCAAGACTCACCATCTCCGGTCATGATGGAGACCCTGAGCAGCAACACGTTACGGAGCCCAGCGCCAATTAAAAAGTGCTTTTTAACGTTTGAACAGGTGAAGCTCGGAGCCCAGTGACACACACACACACACACACACAGGGGAGATTAAGAGTCCTCAGTTCTCTGGAGTCAGTTGTAGTTGTGCGCTGGAGTGCTACACTCACCACAGTATATCAACATAGTGACTGTCGGGAGAGAGAGCGAGAGAGAGAGAGAGAGAGAGAGGTTAGCCACTATATTAACATAGGCAGAGAGAGTGAGACAGAGACAGAGACAGAGACAGAGACAGAGAGAGGCCATCGACCAGACAGCTACAAGATGGAGTGGAGGGGAACGTGTGAGAGATGAGCTGTCGAACATGTGAACAATGTGTGTGTGTGTGTCAGTGCGTGTGTGTGTGTGTGTGTGTGTCACAACTCCCTAAAGCATCCAGTGAGCGTGAATGTGAGCAGGAATACAGAGAGGTGCATTATGGTCTCGATCATTGATCGCTTCCTCCCAAGGGGGATGGTGACCGCCCCCCCCACCACACACACACACACACACACACACACACACATACTTGACACAAAAACATTCCTTTTTCCATATTTACTGCCTACTTTGTAAACAGTCGACTCTGTTTCTGATGAAAGAGAATCTTCCTGAACTGAAGCTCACGTCGGTCCAACTTCAAAACTGAACTGAAGCTCACGTCGGTCCAACTTTAAAACATTTTAAAAAATAATAAAAATCCGGGTAGAATGGAGGGTGTGAAAACATTCAACCCTAAGTTTTTTTTTTAAGTTTGTTTAATTTTCTAGGTTTACCAGTGTCTTAATAACATATGTTTAACATATAATAAAGTTATTTATTTTAGAACTTTCTGACATGCCTTGCCATATACTTCAGAGTTCTGTATTCAGTTTGACTGCAGTATCCACACTTACCTTTAAATAATTAA